GATGACCCACTGCACACCCCACACCTCCACCTGCCATGACCCACCGCACACCCCACATTTCCACCTGCGGGTGACCCACCGCACACCCCACACCTCCACCTGCGATGACTCACTGCACACCCCACACCTCCACCTGCGATGACCCACTGCACACCCCACACCTCCACCTGCGATGACTCACTGCACACCCCACACCTCCACCTGCGATGACCCACTGCACACCCCACACCTCCACCTGCAGAAGACCGACACCCGGTGCTGGTCAGAGCTGGGATGCCCGGCACTGCATGTCCCTCAGCAGGGGCTCCAGTGGAGAACGTGGGGGAAGTGAGCCTCACAGCCTCTCAAGCACACACCTGCTGCATGACCGAGCACTCTAAGACACACATGCACACTGGCCTCGCAGAACGTGCATGATGGTCTATCACAAGGGAAATCTGGGAACACCCAAATGTCCCTGAGCAGGGTCACAGATGAACAGAACGTGGAGCACTCCACCAGTGGATGCCTTGTGGCAGCACCCAGTGAGCAACTACTGATGCACGAGACACGGCGGCCCGCGCCCGCGAAGCCAGACTGAAAAGCACGCACATCACAGTTTTTAAAAACTTTCAAATAAAAGCTGTCACCGCCCCATCACTCTCCCGTTTAAGGGAACCTGTGCTAAGAACAGCACCTGTGACACCTGGGCCCCACGAGCAGTACAGGGCCACCCTACAGGCTGCGGGGCAGAGACACGTGTGCACTCATGTATGGTTGTGTCTGGGCATGCGTGAGCACATGTGCATGTGTGTGCGCACGTGTTTCTGTGTGCATATGCATTTGTGTCTGCATCTGCATGTGTACGTGCACTGTACATCACATGTTTGCATGTGTATAGCATGTGCACATGCATGCACACATCCTGAGCGGTGGCAGGGTCTGGATGGGGTGGGCTGGGAAGCCGGAGCATGAGGTGTCCCACAGCCACAGGCAGATGGGCAGGGGTCCCGCAGCCCAAGCCCAGAGTGGGACTCCGTAGACAGAGGTGGGCACTGGGTCCGAACAGGGTTTCCAGCTGACGAGGACGCACAGTGAAGTGAGTGGAGGGTGGTGCTGGGAGGGCAGAGGCTGCCAGCAACACACAGATGACACGCAGCAGTGCTAACCACCTGCCCGTCACACTGGCCACCTCGCCTGCCCCACCCCACGTAATAGGTGAGACAGCCGTGGCAAGCAGGTGGGTCCCAGATCCAAACACACAGGCAAAGAACATGCGTGGGGCCTCAGTTTCCCTTATCTGACAACCTGAGGTGGGACCTAGTGGGCCAGGTGCCAACTCTGCCTGGTGTGGGGCACCGCTGGGAGGGTGGCCCCACGGCCACCACCTGTCCCTGCCTGTCCCGCACTCTTCACAGGGACCCTGACTCCCACCCTGACAGACTGATGTGGGGTCGAGCTCCCACACTTGGGTTCCCAGGACAGTCCCAGTGACGCTGCCGGGAGCCCCGTGCCCCTCGGGACCCAACTCCTCCCCACAGGGACTTGGGGGAACAGATTTATCTGTATTTCTGGGGACAATGGGTCTTTCCCGGGCACAGCCGACCACAGGTGGGGACTCAGACCTAGACACGCCGAGAGCAGGACTCCCCAAAGGCTCAGGTGTTAATCTTCATGGCCACCCAGGGAAGGCGCCTGTGGCGAGGGGCTCCGTCCTGGCACCCAGCCCTGCGCCCCTGCCCTGGCAGCACCCCAGGCTCAAGGTCAGTGTGGCCCGAGCGCAGGCAGGACAGAGGCCCGGGAGAACCAAGCGCTGCATTTTAGACGTTTAAACCAGGAGTGGCCCATGGCACCAGGGACCTCGGCCACTGGACTGAGTTTGGGGCTTGGCTGAGACTCCCAGGAGCTGAGGACTCAACAGGAGCCGGCCGTGGGTAACGAACAGCACCAGGCCTGTCCAGCAGAGACTGGGCTGGGGGTGGGGTGGGAAGTAACGACTTCAGAACCCGCGGCACAGCCCATCACTGCCTGTAGCCCACTGCATGGCTGACCCCAACAGAGCTGTCCCCCAGAGCAGGGCCAGGGCCACGCTGCCCCCAAAACCCCCTGCAGGGGGTGGCACTCAGACCAAGACGGACCGACAGCAGCCACAGCCAGGCCTGGGCATGTGTCCCCAGCAGGGCAGCCTCCCGACAACCCCTGCCGCAGAGCAGGGTACTCACCTAGGCGAAGCTCCCCGAAGTTGCCGCAGCCGATCTTCTTGCCGACACGGAAGTTGGGGCCCACCATCAGGACCCCCGAGCTGGTCCCCGAGCTTCGGATGCCGTGGCTGCTGCGGCCCCCGCCGGACTTGGACATTCTCCGGCCCTCCTCCAGCTCCCCTTTCCCTCCTTTCTTGTCAAAATCCATAAGTTTGTGATACCCTGGCCTCTCCACGGTGACTCTGCTGCCGTGCAAATCCCAAGTCCGTGGAAACCTGAGGTCGCGGCACTGCTGTGGCTAGTACATCACTGCGGCCTGGCGGGCGGGCGCAGGTGGCCCGCGGCTCCCGGCTAGTGAGACGCAGGCACTCCCCCGGGCCCGGCCGCGGTGCTCATCTCGGTGGCCTTGGGGTCGCTCTCGGGGGGAGGAGACATTCTGCTGACAGGGCCCACCGTCTCAAATCCTGTGGTTCCCAGCTGCAGAGAAACAGATGCACAGGTCAGGGGCCGGCCAGGCAGGGGACAGGGCATTGGGTGAACTGAGGACAACACTAGAGGGACTCCAGTGCTCTGGAGAGACGCTGAAGGCCTGAGCAGGACGAGCAACGTGAGGGACGCGAGGCCCAAGCCACCCCCCACCCATGTCCCAGTGGCCCTGCTGTGACCCCCAGCTCAGCTCTGGGTGGGTGCCTCCCTAGCGGCCGCTGAAGGAAGTGGGACACGTCGATGCTGCACAGGCTATGAGGGTACCAGGGGTGGGTCCAGCCTGGCCTCTCTGCGGTAAAAAAGGAGGGGCTGGGGGACAGGACACAGTGCACAGCCACCCAAGCAGGGCCAGGCATGGGCCAGGCGGCAAACCCGCTGTCCCAAGGGAGGGGACAGAAAGCTTTGGCCCTGAGAAGGAACCCACAGCACATGCTCCCTGGACGGCCCAGAACCCTGCCCACGGCCCCTCCCCATAGCCCACCCTGCATCCACGTTGCCTCGGACACACAAAAGCCAGCCTGGCCTGGCCCAGGCCGATGGGTCCCTGAGAGCCCGTCACCTCCCTCATATGCTGGGCCTCGGCAATGGGCCCGTCCACTGCTCATCTGGCTGGGCTTCCCAGGAAGCTGAGGGGACTCTGAAGGGCCCCTCTCAGAGCTGGGGACCACTGGCCGTCACATGGATGAGCCTGGGCCCTGGGCATGGTGGGCTGGGTTGCCCCTGGAGGAACACGCCACTCCCCACGAAGGGCCCAGGCTGGAGGGTGGCTGTCAGCGTCAACTCAGCCCTCAGACTTCCCAGCGCCAGGGATGAGGCTGACGCTGTCTCAGCGGCCCCCACCTGAACCCCAGGACCCGGCTCTCTGGGCCCATCCAGCACTACTCCTGCTGTGTCCTCTCTCCCACCCAGGGCACGGGCCACTCCCTGTCTGGGGCACTGGGCAGAGGGGCAGACGGAAGCCCCCACCTTCACAGTGTCAGAGCAGCCGGGTCAGGAGCTGTGGCGAGAGCGCAGCTGAGGGCACTGAGAGTGAAAGTGCAGAAACTTACATCTGAACCAGCCACGCGGAAACAAGGTAACCAGAGCTCGACAGGCGTGGCTGTGCGCACGTCACTCTCCTGGGGTTGGTCACGTCTAACCTATCCGTGAGAAACACCGCAGGACACGGCACAGGCACGCCTCGCACAACCCTCGGGGTCAGGTCCAGACGCCGCACTACAACGATATGGCGACAAAGCGGGTCCCACGAGCAGGCCGGTGTCCCGGTGCGCAGAGGTTGTGTTACGCCACACTGCAGTCTATGTGCTCGGTGCGCAGAGGTTGTGTTACGCCACACTGCAGTCTATGTGCTCAGTCGCATTTTGTCTGGGACGACGCAGACACCTTAACGAAGTTGGGCTCGGGGGAGGCGCCCATAGTCCCAGGGGCCGCAAAGGATGCTTGAGCCCAGGAGTTCAAGGCCAGCCTGGGCAACACGGTGAGATCTCATCTTTTTTAATACTTTATTGCCAAAAAACTCTAACGATCATCACACCTGAGCCTTCAGGGAGCTGTGATCTGTGGCTGCTGACTGCTCAGGGTGGTGGGTGCTGAGGGCCGTGGCAATTTCTTAAACAAGACAACAGTGAAGTTCGCTGCATGCATTGACTCTGCTTTTCACAAAAGGTTTCTCTGTGGCGTGTGATGCGGTTTGATAGCATCTGATCCACAGTAAAACTTCTTTCAAAATTGGAGTCCTCTCAAACCCTGCCGCTGCCTCATCAGCTAAAGTTACCATAATATTTTAAATACTGCTGTCCTCTTGGTCATAGCCGCCTGGTGAGGTGGAGTGATCCCACCCTGTGGTTTTTATCTGCACTTTCCTAGCGACTCCTGGTTCATTTTAGATACATTTTCTCCACTGGACTGAGGCAGGTGCCCAGCCCTGCGCCGGACACAAGGGAGGTGGCCAGGGACACTGCCATGAACCAGTGACTGTGGCTGAAGGAGCGATACGGATCCACCACCATCTCTTCCCCGCTTAGCAGCCACTGGTTCTCTAGCAACGCCCGTTCTCCCTGCTGTCCAAGCACAGGGAAACCCCACGTGCAGTCAACCCAGTTCCTCTAAACCAACCAGCTATGAAAATCCAACCAGCTATGAAAATCCAACTGCCTTTCTGGGCGTTGTGGGGAGCCATCTCCTCTGAGAGACACAGCGTGCCCCAGGGGAGGTCTGTGAGACACAGGTCACCCTCTCCGTGGCTACCTTTACCTGGCATTGGGACGTGGGGCTGCGGGACTGAAGGGGGCAACCCAAGGCACGGAGCTGGGAGACCCGTTTGGGGCAGCACTGCCACGCGTCACAGGCCCGTGTGCGGAGGACCCCACAGCCGCCCAACGCCTCCCAAAGGAGGCCCAACCACACGTGGAGGGGCTGCCACATCCTGCCCAAAAGGCTGCTCAGAGTCGGAAGGCACCCCAGCCACGGGGACATCCCCTGTGGCAGCTCCACCAGGCACCTCCATGTACGGGGACAAACAGCTGACGCTGAACCCAGGCCCAGGTCCTCCACTGGCCACGGCCGGCTCTGACTGTGGGCTCAGAGTGTGAGGGACGCCACAGCCCCTCCCCACCCACAAAAACCGCAAGGGGACAGCACCTCTGACACCTGGTCACACCAGTAGATGAGTCCGTCTGCCCAGCATCCCGCTGTGGGTGTTCTGCCGACCGCAGTGTGGGAGGAGTGTGGGGGTGACGCCCAGTGGGCTGGCAGGCTGTGACGAGCCACTGGACCAAGCGGGGTCTGGGGGTGGCAGGAACGAGTGGCGCTGGGCACAGCAGGTGGGGCTCCTGCAGCCAACACCTGTGCAAGGTGACGCTTCCACAGGGCAGAAAACTGAGGACCCACCGGCCCCTCCGCCACCATCTGCACACTTGTGCCCTTCGCCTCACATCCCCCAGGGGCAGCCGCCCCACCCTCCCCAGCACACCAGACACCTGGGAGACCCCCGGCACAGGAATACTCCCATCCTTTTGGAAACACATCGGACCCTACGGGAAGGGGCTGCTGAGGTTTACGCACCTGCGCCATCGTGGACACCTGGGGGTTACTCACTGTCGACTCCCTCCCACCAGGAGTGAAGACACAGACAGCGGCAAAGGCGTGTGTGAGACACAAAGGTGCAGCACAAGTGGAGGTTCAACCCACGTGGGCTTCCAAGATCCTCAGGAGACCCCTGGCCCATGCGGCTTGCCGGCAACGCATCGCCCCACTCCCCGGCCGGGGCCCAGGCTGCCTGAGAGGTGCCCTCCAGGGACAGGTACCTGCGGAGCTGTCCTCTTAGTGGCTCAGGAAGGTGGGGGTGGGGGGGTGTGGCCCTGCTGTGAGGATACACCTGGTCTCTGTCCCAGCCCCTGGATAGCCCCTGAGGGACAGGAAGGTGAGCCCCAGACCACACCTGAATTTATGCTAATGAGGC